AATATAATCGTCATATAAATGCACTTAAACAACAACTAGACAACGTCAAAGCATTCTGTATGTAAGCTAATAAAATATCTGTATAACATCTAATATTAGATAAAAACCAAGTACTAGCGACGTCGATAATAAAGTTTCAAAAATGCTATGATGTAATCTCCATTATAAGTGCCAATTTTTTTTAACAAAAGAGATATTTTCTTTTAAGATTTATTCCTATTGCACACATACAGATGACGGATCCTAACACCATCAACCATTTGACTGATTTCAAGGATAAATCCGTAGATCCTGTCACAAAGGCTAATTATCCGTGGATACTACATTTAGTGAATCGAATGAATGCAACGTGAGTTTGACCTTCAACATCACACCAACGTCCAAATATTTTGTTGAGGTGTTTGAAATAAATCCATGAAACGGAGATCAATTATAACGAATTGTCTCACCAATTTTTAAATCACGAATGCAAGCTTTCAAACGACGTAATAAATTCGAGCTCAAGGTTAATTAATGAGGTTACAGCGAAGTAATCAAGCGATATACCTTTATACGTCAAAAACAATGATAAATTGATTTAACCGGAGAACTACATGATCAGATGCATGAATGGATCGTTTCGTTTAATTAAATAAGCATGACATATTTATTAATTATCATAACAGACAAATTTGCATGATTACTACATGTATTCTCGTATCTAATTGGCTACTTAAAGTCCAAAATTTATTACTGAATTCGTAAATATTTCGACATAACTTTTTAAATCTTTGCTCGTCTATAATAATCGTATAAATACTCGCACAAAAATATTCAATTAAAGATGAAGCGACTTTTTATACGAATGAATATTAGTTTCTATATTTTTTTATCTGAATCTCTATTATCCGATCAATACATCTTTCTTCAATATCAAATAAATTAAGAATTTTGATAAAAGAATTTTGATCAAATAACCATTTTCGATTAAAAAAAAAACTTGATTAAAAAAATTATTATTTACTTTCATGAACATAAAATACGATATGACAAATTTGCGAGTTATAAAATACAGTCCAGCAAACATACGATATATAAATGATAATACGACATATAAATAATACATGTATAAATATATATTACATTTGATATTTATATATAGCAGCTGTATTCGATCCTCGTTAAGATATTGCATTAATCGACGACTAAAAATTCTATACTTTTGCTTTAGGATAAGTTTCGAAGTCACGAACAGCTGGGGATATCGCACTGAGAATGGTTCTTGGAGCGGAATGATTGGGATGTTGGAACGGCGTGAAATTGATATCGGCGGTACCGCCACATTTCTCGTGCCGGAACGTATTGGTGTTGTGCAATACATACAATTGTATACACATACGAGGTAACACAATTATTTATTAAATTTTCTACATCTTTTTCTAAAGGCAACATTTGGGAAGAGCTGGAAATAGTTGAAGTTTCAGTTAAAGTTAATAATTTAGCTTTTATTACTGAAAAAAAATTTAAACTGCTATTAACTTTAACTTTTTATTATAATTCTTTATTTTATTGTACTGTTATTGATATTTTATGTACAAATCTATACAGCTCACGTTTCGTATTTCGGCGACCTTTACTGTCGACTGTGAGCAACATATTTACTCTGCCTTTTCAACGAAACGTCTGGATAGCAATTGCAGTATTTCTCGTTTTGGTCTTCTGTTTGCTCTACTTATCTATTAAATGGGAATACAATCGCAATAGGATGTCAAAGTCAGCAGCCTACTGGAATGAACTAAATCCCAGCAAACCAACAATCAGCGATAATCTTCTCATTCTTTTAGGCGCATTTTCTCAGCAAGGTAGAGAAAGGATTTTCGGTAATATAATCGTAGACTTGGAATATTACTAACATAATTCTCAAATATTATTCAAAAATCTCTAAGACACCAAATTTTATCTTTCTCATGCAAATACGTAAATCGAAATATTTACTTTACGATGTATTAAATTATTTTCGTTTCGTTCCACATGAAATTTATAAAATTATTGTATTCTTGTAGGATATTCGTACGAGCCCTACAGAGTTTCGTCTCGAATTGTTACTCTTATGTTATTGCTGGCTTCGCTGAGTCTCTATGCGGCTTATACAGCGAATATCGTGAGTTTGCTGCAGTCTACTACAGATTCTATCAAAACTCTTCCGGATCTCTTAAACAGTCCTTTAAAGCTGGGCGTGCAGGATGTAGTATATAATAGACATTATTTTAAGGTAAATAAAAAATCGCGGAAATTAATAATATAAAAACTCTTATTATGTAATAATTACTATTATATAATTTATTATGAAACATTTCGACTTTTATTACGGCATAAAAAATATTAATATATAGCAAAAGATACAAAAATAGATATGTAAGTTCTTTGTGGGATGACAGTCCTTCCAAGACTCCGTTAGGAAGACAATACTACAACGAATCGAGCCGAAAGGAAGCAAATCTAACTGGATGTCTGTAGAAGAAGGTGTACGTCGTGTAAGAAACGAACTCTTCGCATTTCATGGTGAAATTGGTACGGCTTACCAACTGATGCAGGACACGTATTTGGAGGAGGAGAAGTGCGGTTTAACCGAAATCGATTTCCTAAATGTCTTATATCCGCTTCTTGTGATACAAGAGCAATCACCTTACTTAGAAATAATAAAAACTGGGTAAATAGGTACCTTTAATTATTTTCACGTAGACGTATAGTTTTTAAATCCTCGAATTTCGATATAAAACTTCTTAAAGTTTAAAGTCTAACGTAAAAATATCATATAGTCTTAAAAATATATTTTATTGACACGTTATCCTAAAAACTGTACTGTGTGCACGAACTAATGACTATCTCATGATATAATAATTCTCAGCACTCAGAAATTATGTTTTCAGAGCTCTAAAATTGCGAGAATCCGGACTCAAATATCGCGAGGAATATCGCTTATATACGAGAAAACCAGTATGTGCGAGTCAAACTAGCTTCATCACTATCGGTTTCACAGAATGTTACTTCGCGCTGATCACAATGGGTTACGGAATATTCCTTTGTGTAATTGTATTTGCGTTCGAGTTATTATGGCATAAGAGGTAAGAGTTAAAGGGATGCTAGAGTGACGTGAGCAATTTATCGGAATTTATCGATGCTTTATAAATGTATGAAATTCTCCGAATTGATTAAACAGAATTGATTGAACACTCAATACACGAATAATATTGAGTTTATAAAATTACTAATTATTAAAAGTTTAAAAAAAAAATTGTCACTTAACTGCAATATATTTGCATATGTATGCTTAGCGAAGATTCAGAACAGTAAGCAGAGCAGTAATTACGTGTAGCAAGTGGTGGTTAAGAGAGATGATGTTGCAAATTGTTAGACACAGATAGACAGAGAATGTACAGAATAAAATAAATATACGTGCACACACACTTGATTGTGTACCGCAATAATGTGTGCGATACAATATATCTGAACTAAAATGATAATGCAGGAAATGGAATTAACATTTTTAATTAAAAGTTAAAAAAATCTGCACTATCGATATCGATAAAGTTCGGTCATTGCTTCAACATTCCCTTAAAAGAAACTTCATTACCATACCTTGCGCTATTTATTATATTTTTTTCTCGTAGGCAAACTATGCACGCGATAAAAGAAGTGTCAAACGCAGAAACCAATATTGTGAAATATCTTGATTAAATACCTGCAGAAATGTATACTATTTCGAGAGAAATTCAACGGCATCACATTTTTCTGAGCTTTCTGTTGCACTACATCTAATCTATAATTTTGAACTTCATAAAAATTTTGATTAGAATGATTTTTATATTACTTTGTTAGATGTTTGTATCCTTTTGTGTGTAATAAGTATGATTTGTCGATATTGTTTTAATGTGTTATTATTTAATATAAATATTAATATAAATATTAATGTTAATATAAATATTAATGTAAAGTTATCAAACATATACAAATCATCATTTAATGGAGTTTCAACAGTTCTTTTTTATGTAGAAAACACTGTGTGGAACAGATTACTTATGAAATAAATGCACACAATGTGATTAATAAACAAGCTTTAAAATTGTTTCACATATAAAATTTAAAATTAATTACTTACAAAAAGTATAATAAATAAATCTTACCAACTATAATAATTCACATCAGCCGCGACAATGATATATAGGGATTGTTATCTATATAGCATATATCTTCAGGGAAATACTTTTACAAGATCCATTAAGTCGAGACATACTTAAGTGCAGACGTGTTTTATTCATTAAAATAAATTTCTTATTGAAATTTCTTTAAAATATTCTTTATTTAATTCAAAAATATAACAAAAAATATATACATTAATTATAAAAAAATTCATACCGCTGATTTTATATCTATTCTTTGCAGTTGTACCTCTTTTAAATTCCCTAATTTCTATCACGTATGCCATATTTAATTACATATTTATTTCATCTTGCAGAACGCAAACATGTAATGCATTTGAAAAGAATAAGTCTTTCAACTGTATGTTATTGTACATATAGGAATAAACGAAGATTAAACGTGCTGGTAAGAAGGGCTTATAATAATTCTTCGTGTAGTCTACCACGAAATCCAGAGTGCACTCAGGCAGCTCTTCTGCCAGCGAAACGAGTAAAAGACACGATTGTTTTTGATTACGACCGCGCCGTCCTCTCAATATAACAACAATCCTTCGGAACGGACTGTCTTCCCTATAGCGACACAAGTAGACTTGATGAAGGAATTGCGCTATACTTATTCGATTTGGCAGGTAAAAGTTATAACACATACAAATATGGGATTCTTTCCTATGTAAACATAAGAACCAATCAATGGCAATGCTGCATTCAGGATTGCCCATTCTCCCACAATAATTTTCCATTGTTAGGGATTTATTTTTTTCATAATTCATGATTAACTTTTAACCAAGGTTCATCTTATTCATTATCTCTTTCCAATTCTAGAAGGAACAAGCTAAACCTCGGTTAAGAGTCAACCATGTATTGTGGAACTGAGCCTTAGAGAAAAAAATGCAACCCTAAGTAAGGTTTATCACTTTAGAAATTAGCATTTATCGTAATTGTATTAAAGAGTCACTCTCGGGCAAGCTGCTAGTCTTAATATTAAAACTGGTATCCATTAAAACTATCAATATGATATACGTTAATATAGTAAAGAACTTTACTTACCCCCTGCTGAATTTCTTGAAAGACGGTTGGATGATAGCATTCTTGCTAATAATACAATAGCGACCCGTTCTAACATTGGCCAGATCGCCTCTAATGATAGCGTCAGATTGCATTATTACTTTTCCAGCACAATATTTTACGAGTCACACAATACAGTCAGCCTGCTCACCTTATTTCCAGAGGCGTAAAATAACGAAAAAGTGAGGTTATGTATCACGTTTTGAATATCTATGAATACAAGACGTTATTAAATGGTTAAATTTGTTAAATCGTTTTTATATCTGTCTCTTAATAACAGAGACTGTAACGTTATAATATTTCTTTCTAATTATGAATATAACGTCTTATTAATGCCGCATGCTTTAGTTCCTTTGATTATTACCGTTTCAACATATTCAGCTTTGTTGTAATAAATATCTTGAGGCTCCATCCTGAAGAATCTTCTTCCTACACAATTGCATTACTTAATTCAGTTTTGAAATATTAATAACAATGTTCCGATTAAGTGTCATTCCTCCGAACATTTCGAAGAAAATCATTTCGTGTAATCTAAAGTAGATATTTAAACATTTCAGACGTGATCAGCTGACGAATAGAATGCATGTCGCCATCTACTGACAGAACTGTGTATTGTTTTCTTTTATAGATCTGTTTTTTATCACTGCACTCTAAACCGGTGCAATAAGTTAAAGTGAAAGAAACGTATATTTGTTTCACTTCAACTTATTGCTCTGTGTGTTTACTAGTTCAGAAAATGCAGCAATAAAAAACAGATCTTCGTGGGAAAAGATCGTCGTGGATTTAATTCTCAGCTGATTTTACAAAATCATCTTGTTAAAAAATATTTCTATATAAACAACGTATTAAAAAATACTACAAAACAATGCTAATGTGTTTTGCTTATTTATGTTGTTTCCAACATTTAATGTTAAACAAGGAAGATGATGAATCCGAGGCATCGGAGGCATCCGAGCGAAGCTTCCGAATGCAGCCGTACTAAAAAAATCTCACACATCAATGCTAACTTATCACTCAACTGTCAACAAAACTTATCAAGCAATTATTTTGCAGAAGGAATTTTCTTTCGTAAGACAAAAATCCTATACTGATTACGTCACTGACGCATGTTACCTGACATTATGTTACTTTAATTAACATCATGAAAGTTATATGAGTTTATAAGCGATTATATGAATATTAAGTCTAATTGCTTTATGATATCACGTTATAGCGTATATGTGCAGACTGATTAAAATTACGATTTGTAATTATCATTTTGCACGTTTATCGTTTTAAACAATTAAGTCTTCTGTTAAATGTTTCGACGAAATATTTATATAACAATTTTTCAACCAAAGAAGCTCTTAACATTAAAGCATCGTGTGTCACGGAAAAGTTTTACTTCATGCCATAGAATCTAATTATTAACACTTGAATGTAAAATAAATAAATGAAATATTTGGGTTCATATCTTTTGATTTTGAAAGAATTTACAAAAATTATTTCTAATTTATAATATTGTATATCGAAAGTAGATCACATAAAATTAACAAAAATACAATATATTGTAGTTTTAAATTATATATAAACATTAAATATTCTAATTTATAGGATATGGGAGGGACCATTCTGACAGGATCTAAAATTAAACATTTTTTTTACGTCAATTACTTTTTAAGTCAATAAAATTAATTTTTATTTTAGGAATAACAAAAGATATTATACAATATCTAAACTACAAATTGGCTAAGTATTAAAGATTTTAATTAAAATATATTCGTTGTAGAACAATTTTCTCCGCCGCAGTATCGGTTGAATACAGGTTTCCGAAGAGAGGGATAAACTAAAATGAAAAATTGAAATATTTTTTTATAAGTAACTATAATGTGGCGTAGAATTATTTTTCGTTAAAAATTTTAGAAAAAAACTTAATAAAAAAACACTGTTTCTTTTAAAAATAAAATTAAAAAATTAAAAAATGTTTATCCTAAATAAATGAATTATCATATTTAAAAAAATCCTACATTTTATCATAGCTACTCCATCTATGTACTAAAAAAAAATTTAACTTCTTGATTTTAAACTTTATAGTGGCGACTTAAACTCACCAGACATATTATATAATATAAAGTAACGTAATCTATTCATCATTTTCGTTCAAAACATGGAAAAATTCTAAACTGAATGCAATTATTAGGTTGAAATAACAGGTTGCACTTAAATAATTATCTTAAGTACAGATAAGTAAATATTAAAAATGTACATTATCCGATGCCACTTTGACTTAAAATTTTTTTATTACATTACTTTATATAGTCATTTTATATAATACTTTATATAGTTTTAGTTTGACTCTTTTTTCTGAAATTCGGTAGTTATTACAATTACATTGTTACCATTATTATTCTACAAAGTTGTTAAATAAACTTGATACATTGTATTGATCAGCTATTGTATAAAAAATGAAACTTTTGTAAACAAAAGTTTTTTTTCCCACTTTTAATTAATATACCGTATTTTTATTTAATACCGTTTTTATTTAATATCGTATTTAATTAAAATAACAACGTTTAGCTTAATGTATCTGAAATAAATTTGTCTGATATGATAATCGCATTTACTGTTCAACACGAGAAATGTGCGTTAGAGGTGTTCGGAGTGCAAACTTTTGTTTCACGATAAGAAAACAGGTAAGATAATCCTTCGAAAATCACATGACATTGAGAGCAGGCTAAGTCTCTTTGCAGGCCTGTCGTTCCTCACGGATTTATAGTGCTTTACACTGACATTATTGTATCAAATAGTGCATTTGGAGGGATGAAAAAGCATTCGTGAGAACGAGGAAAGCTGGTGAAATCGTGTCTCTAGAAGCATCCGAAGTATGTAATCTGTTGAAAGATGTTAACGAGCATCTATCATTTATCGTTAATATTTCATCAATAACACTCGTTACCTTGACTGTCCGCCATTTTCACAGATTCGTGATTTTACAGTAGAATTATGCAAATTGCTATATAATCAAGAATATACCGAGAGATTATGGTACATTAAACGTTGCACATTAGATTGATTCTCTCTATGATACTTGAACAATTTCCGCAGTCAGCGAAGACAAACGCGATCGGGATGATCCTCATTACCCCGTGCATCCTCGCGTTATCACTCGGGAATGCCGTAATCGCGTCATTTCGCGTCGACGATGTTATCGTAGGATTTATCGTCAACGCGACGCCCGCTCTATTCCCACCTTTGAGAATATCTCTACAGCTATGCATTAACCATGGCAAGATTTTCATACATGTTCATGATCTCTATATATTAACAGTCCATTGAAATGGAAAGGAAGAATACGAAATTTATAACTGCTTAATTTTATTAGCTGTAATTGCAAAAAATACACTAATAGAGAAACTAGTAAATGCTCTTCTACAAGATGTCCCGAAATTCGCGAATCAAAGTATTACAACAAGAAAGTTCACAAAAATAAATTTAAGTTAAAAAAGTATTTGCCATTTTGTTTAGGTATGACGGTTTTAAATTGGTCTTACAGCTTGCAGTTAAACGGTTGTATGCCCCTGAGCGGTATATCGATATAATGTTAGTAATGACAAGTAGTGACTCACAACAAGCATCCGTTTAACTGTAATCTATAATTGACCAATTTTTAATTTTCATGTTCCAAGAATTACGGATTGGAATGAAAAATGGCAAAAAGCTTTTTTGACTCTGACTCATATTTTTCGAGAACTTTTTTGCTGCGCAGTATTTTTATTCGCGAATATCGACACAACTTATGTAATAAATAATAAAAGAGAATCAGTCAGAGTCTAAATACAAGGGTAACCGTGTAAATATGAGAACATTAACTCAATAATATTTATTTTGACAAATTTACATACTAACATGAGGCAAATGTCTCAGTAGATTTTAAACTCTCTCTTCTTACCTTTTTTCTCTTTCCTTTCATTAAATCCACAATGAAAAAAAAAAAACAAAGGTATGCACGTCAAAGGGAAAGAGATTCTTGAGGGATAACAATATAGATAAATAAATTCTAAAAAAGAAAGTCTCTTTTAGAAAGTATCTATTTTATTCTTCAACAAAAAGTTACACGCGCGTCTAGATAAAAGAATATATTATATTAACTTTTACTTCGAAAATGATAACAAATAAAATGCCACAGAACTGATAAGTAATGTCACGAAACGATACATAGATAGATTTTATTTTACATTCTTTGAAAAAAAAAAGTTACAAGTTTAGATAAGAATTATATTAACTTTTACCTCGAAAATAATAACAGTTAAAATGCCACAGGATCGATAAGTCCACAAAATTATTTTCAGATTTTTATCTACCTTAATTTTTAGATCAAAATACCTACTTAAAATCGCTCTTTCCTTGTATATATTAAGTAGCTACGGTAGTGTCGCTGCGCGTACCTTAGCGCCGAGACATTACAAGTGTCTCCAGATACAAAATTTCTATCTTTACTTATCCATAAAAATAACGCATAAAACATATTTATTTGAAGTTAAATATAATATCCTTTCGCAGATGATACGATTAGATTATCAAGAATATTGTCGAGCAACTACTTGATGCATAACATTTATAATTTCTACGAAGAATTTAATCCAAAGATTTATAATAACTTAGAACATCAAAACTTATATATATTGAATTTAGATTGTGATTATGCTATTGAGGTTTTACGACAGGTAACATAATATTTATGTCTATAAATACATAAGGTGCCTTTGAATAAGAAACACACATAACACGGTTTGACACCGCGCATTATAATATCCTTGTTCGCCAATATTAAGTAAAAATGAGATAATCACATGTGTTGTACCGAGTCGCTTGTTGGAAGGCACCTATTATGTAAAAAAAAAATACTTTACATTTCGCTGGCATCTTGACTAATGAGACACACAATTTCGTTATTGTTGTACCTTATACCAATCTTCTGATTTATTGATCAATATCTGATATAATATGATAGGCGCACTCGAAAAGAATGTTTGTCGCTCCGACGAAGTGGCTGCTTTTTCAAGATCGAAAAACGATGACCACTAACGATGATAATGTCAATTCAACTTTTACATATGATGACTCTGTATTGGAAATCTTCGAGGATTTGGCGATTTATCCTGATAGCGACGTGATCCTCGCGCGAAGATTCCATGGCGATTTTCTCGAATTATTATCCATATATCGACCAAGTCCACAGAAAGGTGTAATATGGGAAAATCGTGGAAACTGGACGATCGAGAATGGTTTGCAAATGAGCACTTTCGATGTGGCTTCAGCGCGAAGGAGAAACCTTCAACAGACGGCTCTTAAATCTTGTATCGCGGTACTTTGAAATATAATCGTTATATAAGCGCACTTAAATACCAACGAAACGTCAAACTATTTTGCATGCAAGCTAATGTAATATGTGCATAAGAATTAATATTAGACAAAAAGCAAGTACTAGCAACGTCCATATTAAAATTTCAAAAATACTATGACATAGTCTCTATTTTAAGTGTCAATATTTTTTTAACAAAAGAAATATTTTCTTCCAAGATTTATTTTAAGATTATTTA